TTGGTTGTGACAAAAAAAATGAAGTATACCCATTACTATACAAGCTTTTGACATTGGTATTAATTTCTCAAAGTATGAGAACTTGAAAGAAATACTTGTAATAAGATATGATTTGGCTAAATTAAAGATTAGTACTTTCTTTTTTACGTTTCTCGATTTTTTTGTTAAGTCTTCGTATATTAATTTATGTTCCGTTGTTTCCTTTCTCTATCTCAAAGTACCAACTTTCCTCATTTTAACACATAATGTTTCACAAAAAATTTTCGGGGGCAGCCACGTGGGCCACCACCCCTTCAACTCCGGGACCCCTCTTGTTCAGCAGGCTGGCTCCAATCCTGCATAACGTGTATGATGTCCCCATGCTAAACTTAATTTGGAAACTTAAATTAATGTCCCAATGCAAAGGTTTTTCCAATTTGTCAATTACCCACTTTGTGATTTTGAATGACGATTTTAGTATAAAAATCTACCAATCATAAAGACATACTCTGAAAATATTATGCACGTTAAATTAAACATAATAAACAAAAGGATAATTCTTGTGGTACATCACAAGTTACATGAGGGTGTCCATAATGGACACTCGGCACTCTTTCAATGGTTGGGGTGCCGGTCCCACAAGCCCCCCCCCACCCCCACCAATAGGAGGGCGCCGGGTGTCCATTATGGACATCGTTATGTATCTTGTGATGTACCACAAGAATAATTCTAAACAAAATTAAGGAATAAAGACTTGTAGATTGTTTATCTTTCGTATTGTTCTGTCTTGTCCAATATCCTTAACACGCCCATATAGTACTAAAACTTAGTGTGTGAATGATAATTAAACAAAAGCTTTTAATTTTATGTTGGAGGCACTTCCAGCAACTTTTTCATGTGCATTTGTCTCAATGGATTGGAGTGAACGTGGGCAGATCTCAATGTATTCAACGTAGACCCAAATCATCTTGGATCAGAACATAGAAGCATGGCCTTGATCTTTCATTCTATATATAAATTTTTTTTTCTAGAACAAAAGATATTAATTAGATTTCTAGCACGTACTAAAATTTATGTTGATACATAAAACATTTTACTAGCTAATACCAATCAATTTTGAATTATCTTCATCTTCAACATGCAACAAGTGTCAGCATGGTATCTTCCACCCTTAATAGATCGTTATATTTGAGAATAAGAGCATGTTTTGTACAATGGACACGACAATAATTCATAGTGGTTTTAAGTGCTTATAAGTTGTGAATCCCCTGGAATGTGTGGATAATAAGTAGGTGATAAATCATTTTCTACGAAATACGTTAATATAAAGTATGTTCGATCCACTTAAATTAATATTTAAGCTTTGTGAGACATGTGCTATAAATATGGGATAATTTTTTTGAAAAAAAATAAAATAAAATACACTAAACCTATTAAGATTTAAGATTCCATCTTAAAATGTCAAATCTTATTAAGAGGAGAATAAACTTACATTGTCCGTTGGAATTTAATGTGTTCTGATACTATATTAAAACTTGAGATTCCATATTAAAAGGTGAACCTTATATAAAAAAGTAGCACTAACACTTATAAGTTAATCTATATTTTCATCTTTATTCGATGTGATATTTTATCCCTTAACAAAACCCTCTTGGTCCTAAGCTCGGTTTAATGCAGGCCTGAGTTGCCCATGGATTGAGCTCTTACGAGCCCATTGCCATCCCTAGTTTCACGGATTGTAGGTTTAGCTCCCGAGGTACAACGCCTCAAGGCCGCCTTCCCCTCATTCTTAGGCCGGTAAGCCCGTACAACTGGCATATGCGTATGCTATGAGTAGGATGTTAGGGAGAATACCTGCATATGATCGTATCATTAGTGCACTATTTGGTAAAATGGCCTAGCTATTAGCGTCCTTGCCGTGCCGAATGGGGAGATTAGCATTCTATATGGACAGTCCTCCACAAATCTGCAGTAACTCGTACTTACCGCTTTCGACACCAACCTTCACCCTCTGCCTCTCTAGAGCATTGGTTCCTCGGGTGGACGGCATCCAACTGCAGCGCCTCAACGCATGTCGAATAAAACACAAAATCTTCATCATTGTGCCGTGCAATGTGTGCTCCTCGAAAACTTCTTGAAAGGCACCTAGGCAATTGTGCAATGCTGCCCTTTTTCATCCTTCTTGCCCACAGCTTCCTTCATTGTGTTCTGCGAGCTTGCCGACACGATCCGCGGCCCAAAATCTTTTCTCCGTAAGAACACACGACATTGTCCCATAACAACACTGCATGCTCGAGCGGACCTGCTCCGATACCAACTTTCACGGACCGCAGGTTTGGCTGCCGAGGTAAAACGCCTCAAGGCCGCCTTCCCCTCATTCTTACGCCGGCAAGCCCATACAACAGGCATATGCGTACGCTATGAGTAGGATGTTAGGGAGAATATCTGGATATGATCATATCATTAGTGCACTATTTGGTAAAAATAGCCCTCGCGCCTACCTATTAGCGTTCTCGCCGTGCCGAATGGGGAGATTAGCATTCTCACCACGTGACACCTAGTGCTGCAATCCCGCTCGACCGGGTGTACCAATTCATAATTTTGTGGGGTTGTTGATGGTTGATAAAGAGATACAATAATAGTTTATGTAGTTATCTACTTCGTACAAACCTGAGTTGGTTTTGGTTTCTATTAATGGTGGCTGAAACTGTGAAGAGACCCTTAATAGAAGGAGAAGCTGAAAATGCACAGAATGCAGGCTGGCTGGAGAAGTGAGCTAGCTAGCTGTCTGTTGTCCACGTAGTTGTTGGATGCTATAAAAATAGTAAAAATTCATTAAACAGAGGCGTATGCATTCATTATGTCTTCAACTGTGACATTCATTTCTATATTTAATGGCATTCTCAGTTGATAATTTATGTGGCATTTATTACTACCTTCAAGTAAGACTTACCAATTATCATTCCAAATTATATTGTTATATTCTGGAAGTGTTTTTATTAATTTCTCTCATTTAGTGTGTGTATACATTATATAGTATTACATAATTGTGAAGAATACACAGGGAACATGGCCAATCAGAGGTAGCCATATGAAGAAAATCTGCAGAAGTTTATAGTGGAATTTTGAGTGTGCAATTTTCTGTCTCTCTCTCAATGGCTTTGATTGGTGGTGCAGCAGCAGTTCTTACGAAACTCAAAATCTTGCTCTCTTTAATTCTGTGGATCAACGCGTTTGCTCTCTCTCAAGGTGCTTCTTTCTTCAATACTTTGTCTTTCAGCCTCTCTCTCATTATGTTGCTTTGCCTGTTTTCCTCTCTCTGGCCCCCGACTATAGTCGGCTGTATTGAGATTTTGAGGGCCATAGACCAAATTTACATGGGGCCGCACCCACCTTTCGCCAGAGCCCTGACTATAGGCGGCATAGGTGGCTTCCTAAGGCCCCGCATAGACGAGGGCCAAATCTGATCATAGGCCAGCTGACTATTGCCCCATATAAAGTTGGCGAGACTCCAAAGGCCGGTCCTGTCTGTGAATATTATTTTGATTTTTTTCATTATTAGATTGCCTGCATGTTATATACAAAAGATTTTTAAACAGCTCGAAAATAATTTCCTTGCAGCTTATGAACATCCAGGACAGTATCGATACCCTTTCATAAGACCAGCAAGTTCATTCACCCAACCGCCATCCGCAGCCGCGTCCCGTTCATGGAGAGGCGCAAGCAAGACCTATGACTACATAATCATTGGCGGTGGCACGGCCGGCTGCCCACTCGCGGCCACCCTATCGCAAAACTTCAGTGTGCTGTTACTCGAAAGAGGCGGAACCCCTTTTGCCAATGGAAATGTATCATTTTTGCAGAATTTTCACATTTCCTTAGCCGATACATCGCAAACGTCTGCATCACAAGTATTTATTTCCACCGATGGAGTCTTTAATTCCAGGGCTAGAATCTTGGGTGGAGGTACCTGCATCAATGCAGGATTTTACACCAGAGCAAGCTCAAGGTACAACTCCCAAATGCCTACTGACCACATTTTTATTTATTTCCTAGTTTGAGATATATACGTGTACATGTTTTGGGCGTAAATTTGCGTCGTAATTGGATGTTTATACTAGTTTTAAACGAATGGAAAGATAATTTACTTTTGTTAAGTGATTTATTATATATCTTGAATGCTATTTGAACAAATGGTTGCTAATTAGACCAAACCAAGATTTAAACTAGTAGATAATCACAATGGCTCCATTTTTGGACCCCTACAACATCTTCAGTAAACAGTACTGGACAGAGTATACAATATTATGAACATGATTTTATGTTAAATTGCCATTGTATGCTATCATTTAGGTCATTTTTGTTTTTGTTGGTTGTTATATTCTTGCTATGTTAATAAATACTTGGTGTGGTCCTCTTGATTTAAATACAAGACATTTATAATAGTTGTACGTCCAAACGACAAAAGAAGTTGTGACCTACCTACACACCATAACTTCTTATATATGGCATTCAATTCAATTCAATTCTTTTCTTTTAAATTAATTACCATATGCCTAATCATGTTGTACTCTTGTTTTCATAGCATTGGAATATCTAATCTCTCTAGGCATTGGTTTGTTACTACATAGAAATAGTGTACTTAACCAGAGAGTTCAAATCCCAGGTTAAGTTAGGGCGACTGGTAGGAGAATGCCTGATATTCGTTCCCATTTTTTGGCTATCGACTCTTTCACTCGGGTCATTTCTAGTCTCTCATTATGGGAACTGCGGGAAAATATTGGACATTCTTCCTTCGATTTTCAAGCAAGATGGTTGATATGTGCCTACTTGTTAACACTTGACTTTTGTGACTTTCAGTTATATTAAGAGAGTAGGGTGGGACACAAAACTGGTGAATGAGTCATATCCATGGGTTGAGAATCAAATTGTGCATAGGCCAGAGCTTGTGCCGTGGCAGAGAGCATTTAGGGACGGCCTTATAGAAGTTGGAATCTCACCTTTCAATGGATTCACCTATGATCATCTATATGGAACCAAAATTGGTGGAACTATTTTCGACAGGTTCGGTCGCCGTCATACTGCCGCTGAGCTCCTCGCCTCTGCAAATCCCGATAATCTCCATGTTTTAGTACATGCAACAGTCCAAAGGATTGTGTTTGACAAAACAGGTGAGCATTAATTAACAGGTCAAGACAATACAAACAATTAGGTTTCATCGAGTAATTTATTATCAGTATCTTGGTAATATGCAATGCCATTACAGGTAAAAGACCTCGGGCTGTTGGAGTTGTTTTCAAAGACGAAAACGGGAAGCAACACAAAGCATTTCTTTTGAAGAGGCCGAGGAGTGAAATTATCGTGTCATCGGGAGCAATTGGGAGCCCTCAACTGCTGCTGCTTAGTGGGATCGGCCCAAAGGCAGATCTCGAAAAATTGAACATATCTGTGGTTCTTGACAATGAATTTGTAGGCAAGGGCATGGCTGATAACCCTCTCAACACAATCTATATCCCAACAAATAGGCATATCAAACAGTCTTTAATACAAGTTGTAGGAATTACTAAGTTGGGAGTGTACATTGAAGCTAGCAGTGGATTTGGCCAGTCCATGGATAGCATTCATTGGAACAATGGAATTGTTTCTGCTGAGGTGAGCAACATGTTTCTTCGTGCAACTCATTGGAATTGTCAAGTATATATACAATGTCTTGTACGCCGTATTGAATAGGATTAGACACTAAAATAGACAATATTTTAGTTTCTTTTTCTTCTTTCATACTGTCTAGTGCTGTACAGTCAACTCTACCAACAATAGCATTTTGTTATGTGAACAGATAGGACAGCTATCTACCATTCCTCCAAAGCAAAGATCACATGAAGCAGTTCAAGAATACATAAAAAGAAAGAGAAACATCCCACATGAGGCATTTATGGGAGGTTTCATCCTAGAAAAGATTGCATGGCCCCTGTCAACAGGCCAACTCAGCTTGCTCAACACAAATGTAGACGATAACCCATCCGTCACCTTCAACTATTTCAACCACCCGTACGACGTAGCACGATGTGTGGACGGTATTCGCCTAACTGAGAAGATTTTGAAGTCCAAACACTTCAAAAACTACACGCAGTGTGACAAGGAGACAGTCGAAAAGATACTAAACATGAGTGTTCATGCCAATGTTAATCTTATTCCTAAGCATACCAATGACACAAAATCCCTAGAGCAGTTTTGTAAAGACACTGTTATCACAATTTGGCACTACCATGGAGGGTGCCATGTGGGCAAGGTGGTAAGCCATGATTATAAGGTACTCGGGGTTGAAAGACTTCGTGTTATTGATGGCTCAACTTTCGCTGGCTCCCCCGGCACCAATCCTCAAGCTACGGTGATGATGATGGGCCGGTAAGATCATCGTACTCTTGTTTATATGAGAAAATTTATTGACAAAATTTAATATATATATATATCAGCTTACACCTTGAATTATATATACAGGTACATGGGAGTGAAGATATTGAGAGAGAGACTAGGGAAAGCAGCTGGAGTATAAAGACTAACACCAAGTAGAGAAGTAGAAAATGTTCAATTTATTGTGTTTGTTTATTAGAAAATGTAATTTTTGTGATTCTTATCTATTAAACGTAGAGAGATTAGGCAGGGTTTGGGATTTAAGTAGGGACCTAGATGGTATTTAATGTATAATCTCATCCTAGACTTATGTTTCGTTTTTAAAGCTGTCTTGTTGTATGTGTCCTTCAGACTCTCCCTAGTGAAATCTACTATTGGACGGTCTATTTTTCAGACTAATTTGCATTTCTCTTGACATTAGATCTCACCTGTTGACCCCAAAAATTGTATCAAAGATGTAACCAACAGATGTCAAAAACTTCTTGCTTCCACGTAGATCGGATCCGATAAAGGAAAAGGCGGGGGTCGGTTTTGTATCGAATAACAGGAATATATGCAGTAGGAATATTGAATTGAGAGTCTAAACTTGCAATACCCCCAAATGACCCTAAGCGTGGGCTTTTATACTTGAGTAGGGGGAACAAGGTCCGTTGGATGATAAGACGCGTGGCTTCATCGGATTGACTAGCCCTTCTTGTCGCATGCATCAATCGATTAATCAATCAGGGTATTTAATGCTAAGACTTTTTGCACATCTATAACCCTAGCTTGGGCATGTGGGATTTGACTGTGTAGGTGCATAGAGGCGACGTTGGCAGTGAGTTGTCTTATCAATCACTTCACCACAAGATCGGTTAGGGACCTCTTCATCGCTTCGTCCGAACTGGCTCCTACACGGGGGTCTGTCCAAATGGGGTTGGCCAAGTTTTGGTTCATATGAGAGGCTACATCCTTGTGTATAACAAGGTTGGCTATGCTGTCACGTAGGGTAGGGCCCTCGGATCCGCCACGTAGGGAGCAATTATTTATATCTGTAACAACAGTCCCGGAAGTCCAAGTATGATTATTTATATAATGCGTGGACTTCCTAGTCTAAGAAAGAGGGCGACTTGGTTGACTAAAATTAGTGACAGGGGTTGTGGGGGTGCATGGTGAGGCTCTGGCGGTAGAAAGTTGAGCCTGTTTGATAGTTGAATGATGCAATAGGGCTAGAATGCGTAATGTGAGGCCACGGGAGAATCTGCCGAGCCCCTCTTAAAAGAGGAAGCCCGTGATAAAGTTTTTAAAATGCTAGGCGAGGCTATTGGAGGTGAAGCCTGTAATAAAGCTTTACAATGCTAGGCGAGGCTATTGGAGGTGAATCCTGTAATAAGGCTTCAAAATGCCAAGGTGAGGCTCTTGGAGGTTGTACTGAGCTTCCTTAGGAGGTGAAGCCTGGAATAAGGCTTTACAATGTTAGGCGAGGCCATTGAAGGTCGCCAGGTGGCGTGCCATAATGATTTGTAGCGGAATGCTGATTTCCAAAGAAGACAGCTGGAAGGTGTGGCCATTCTCCTAAGCTTTGAGCCACATGCACATTTATCAAGGAATGTTACATCTGGCAGGGTTTACACAAATTCATAAGGTGTGTTTAGCACTACGCCATTTGGGCCTTTGGTTTGAATTTTTGATCAAGTGTCCTTTGGAATTGCCGTGACAGGTCAGATGATAGGTGGATGACCCAGATTACAGTGGAGAAAGATCCAATGATGAAGGTTCGTTCAATGTGCATATATAAGGCTTGAAACCTAGTATTTTCCCTTTTCTTCCACCTTGCGAAACTTGAAAACTAAGTACTAAAATTCTCCTTAGCCTCCACCGTTCTTTGTGTAGTGAGCAGCTCCATTTTCTTTATTTTCCAGCGTCCAAGACCTGTGTAAGTACTCAAATACCTTCACATTTTCCTTTAGTTCATATTGAAATGGCCTCCACTTCGAAGAAGTCATCTGGGGGATCTCACAAGGTAGACATAGCACTGATTTGTGCCGAGGTGGGTGTGGCCCCCATAATCCCTATAGAAAGGATTATGGAGGCCATGGGGTGTCCTCATAGTGCGTGGATGATACAAGAGGGTCCTATAGAATTTAGTATGAGGTGGGGGGCTTCAATGTGGCCCATAGATATTAAAGAGAATGAGTTGGAGAAGTTTAGGGAAATGTTTAGGATTTTTGACAATTTAAAGGTGTTTGCGCCAACCCCTGAGGAGGTGACCTGTTTTCCTAGGGAGGGGTGTGTAGCCATTAGTGAGGCCATCTTAGGTGGGGGGATGAGGCCGCCCTTTCATCCGTTCTTTAGGAATATACTGAGACATTACAACATAGCTCTTACCCAATTAGTGCCGATGCGTGGAGCCAAATGGCAGGGGCCTTTCTTCTTTAAAAGGAGGTCACCCTTGGTGAGGATATGTCGCCGCACATTTTCCAGACCCTTTTTCAACCCCGAGCTTCTAGTGGGGAGAGTGATTGTAAGAGGTGGTATTGCATGAATCCTTGGGGACTGTATTCTCCCTTTATCTTGGGGACCTTGACCTCTATTAAAAATTGAAAGTCCTCATGGTTTTGGATGAGGGTTGCTGGCAAACAGTGGAGGGAGATGCGGTCCCAGAGATCTCCATGTCGACCCAGTATCATGTGTATAGTGATTTGAACCCTCATCTAACCGTTTATTTTACGCTCATGTTTTTCAACTTGTTTCTTCGGAGACTTTTCTCATTGTAAATTTTGTGCAATTGAAGTTAACTGGTTTGAGCTCGAGTCATCTGAGTGGAGGATTATAAAGGCCATTTACGAGTTGCCTTCAGACATGAGGTCCTTCAATAACATTATCTGTAAGCAAAACCTGTTCGTCACATACGGATTGATGGCCACTAAGGGTAAAGAAAGTTCTAACTTGTTTATCATGTGGTGTTTTCCTAAGCTCGACTGCTGACGCTTCATTCTCCATTCCCAGGTCAAATGAGAAGAAGGAGTATGTCAAGCCGGACACTGAAAAGCTTGGGACAGGCGAAGGATAAGATGCCTTTGAGCTCTACCTCATCGTCATATAAAAATCATCGAGATGAGCTGACTCACCTTTCAAAAGTGAACCCTCCGCCTCCTATAGAGAATAAGTGAGAAAATGGGAAGAAATGGAAAGAATGAGAAACTTCTTTGATGAAGCCACCGAAAAGGCAGTTAGTTTTGACGAAGAATACTGAGCCTCCCCCTCTCCCCAAACGCCAAACAACAATAAGGAAATTCCTCCGATGACCCATTATAGCAAAGCCCATATCTTCAGTTCAAATGGTTGATGAGGAGGCGACAGAGGACAAGGTTGGCCTTGTTAAACAGAAGCGTGGGAAAAAGGTCAGGGACGTGACCTCTGAAGGAAAAGCTCAGAATTTCCTTAGGGGAGGTCGGATGGAATTTCCTCCATGGTGATGGAGATGCTTCCTGCCGAGGTTCAGGGGGCTATGAGGATACATCGTAAATACTGGACCAACAAGTATTCTTCGTATGTTGAGACCTGTGATGCAGTCCATATGGTGGAGGCGAGTCTTGCCCTGCAAGCTCACTCTGAAGGATTCTTTTTAAATGTTCAAATAAAGTTGAGGCGAATGTAGGGCCTCAATATGGATTACCTTGCTAAGGTGAAGGATGCCGAAGTAAAGCTGATTAAGGCCTAGGCCAAGGCGTCTTCGACCAACGAAGCATGGAGGTCTCCAAGGTCAAGCAGGCCAAGGAGGAGTCGAGAGTGGATACAATTACTAAGGAAAATGATGAATTGAAAAAGGAAGTCCATCTTTGTAAGGTCGAGGTGAATGCTTTGACGTATCATATGGAGAACTCTAATGACCTCCAAAGGATTTTTTCGTTGGCCTTGGAGGCTGCTAATAAGGAGAAGGGGGAGCTAAGGGCTCAAGTAGAAGGGTTGAGAGCTGAGGTGGCAGTGGGGTGGGGAAAGCAGCCGTAAATAACTATGTCGCTCATTTTCATGAAACGGCGGACTATGACGGCCTTGGTATATATTGGAGGAGGGTCGTGTACAATGAAGTCTTTGACATGCTTGCTGTGATGCATCCCCAGTGGGATCTTTCTTCCTTAAGGGGCGAGTTTTTGTCAGACGACCCTTTTACTCCTGCTGTTGAAGATGAGGATTCAGTGGAAGAGGTGAATGCCAAGGAAGAACCCAATAGATGCTGGTGCGTAGGCTATGTTTTTCACTTTGCAATATTTTTGTAATAGTTCCCTCCCCCTTCTTGTAATGGATTCAAATTTATATAAATGAGCATTTTTCCTCTTCAATGCTCATTCTGAATGGATCTTAACGGTTCATGGGCTCGCCTTATTTGCATGTATGAGTTTTCCATTTTTAACTAGTCAGTTAACAATCAATGGGATCGCCATAACCAATGAATTTGTCATTTTTATCCTATAAGTTAACAATTAATAGGCTCGCCACAACTATATTTTACCAAGTGTCCATAATGTATGAGCTCGTCATTTTTTACTTGTAAGATAACAATTAATCGGCTCGGCATAACTATATTTTACCAAGTGTCCATAACGTAGGAGCTCGTTAGTTTTGACCTGTAAGTTAACAATTAATGCTCGCCATAATCAATGAGCCTGTCATTTTTATCCTGTAAGTTAACAATTAATCGGCTCGCTACAACTGTATTTTACCAAGCTTCCACAATGTATGAGCTCGTCATTTTTGACCTGTAAGTTAACAATTAATGGGCTCGCCATAATCAATGAGCTTGTCATTTTTAACCTATGAGCTCGTCACAATTGATAAGTTGATGGAGATATAGGTTCGTCATATTTTAACCATTTGAAAGAGTGTATGAGCTTGTCACACTTAACTTATGGGCTTGCCACAATCAATGAGCTTGTCATTTTTAACCTATGAGCTCGTAACAGTTAATAAGTTGATGGAGATATAAGTTCGTCATATTTTAACCATTTGAAGGAGTGTATAAGCTTGTTACACTTAACTTATAGGCTTGGCATAATTAGAAATACAAGGCATATGCCTTAGCTATAAGGGGTATATGAGCAACGATCAGGACCTTTATTGATAATACATCCTCAGGCGTTCAACATTCCAATGGTGGGGTTG